GGAAAGAAACATCACATTTTTCCCTTGCTTCATGTCAGCTCTACTAATCTTATTTACTTATAACATGGTAATTACTATACTTCTGCAGTTAAATGTCTACCTCATCCACTGCCATTTCATTCAGCACCAAGTGCCTCAGAAAAACTTGAGGAAAATCCCACAGTAGAGTAAGATAGATAAGGGAAAAAATGTTCCTCGCTCTCTCCCTTTAAAGGTATCCTCAAATACAAATGTTGATATCCATTATACTTCATCCTACATACAGTAACTGTAGACATTCTTGTTATCCGATCAAAAAATGTCCAAATATTTTAGAAGCTATTATGGATTTCTGGGTTCAAGGATACCTTGTAGAAGTGATCTGTAGAGTTCAAACATACATTATATATATATTTTTCCTGTTAGAAGTTAATTGCTATGTCTAATTACCTTTTTAAGGGCCAACAGGTCTATAATATTTTTTCAGCATACTCATAACTTCTTCAAAAGAAGCAATCATAATATGTATTCTCTCTTCATGAAGTAATTTTCCCGTTTTTATCCATGTTTATCAAACTTCCATGTCCTTCCATTTTTTCTGCTCCATCCCTTTTGAGACAGAACACTGTGCTCACTTCTAGTCATCCGCCGAGTGCGTACCATCATTGGCTGCAATGGCATTAACACATTAATTCTGATCCAGTTTCCTGTAGAGCAGCAAGGCAAAATCAGTCCTAGAGGGACAGGATTAAAACATTAATTTTCTGCGTTGGTAGCATTTTTTGTCTATTTGGCATTGACTCTTCGTAGATATTCAGCGTTGACTCTGTCAAAATTGAAACTGCACAGATGTGAGGCAGCAAGACACAAGTTCCACTGACTTTTTGGCCAGAAAAAAAGAAAAAAGCTCATCTAACCTCATCCCTTGTACAGTGTGAGCCAACAACGTTGCCCATGGACTTTTCCATCTAATCCACACCATGTGAATGAATTCATTAGAGTTTATGTCCTTGGGGCAAAACATCCAGTCTTTAGCTATAAACTCCCAGATGAAGATGAGTCAATTGATGGATTACTATACTTCTATCTTATATTCAGTTTGAACTTAGACCACATCAAATTGCAGAGCTTTTATCTTGTAACACTTTTGCCTGCTAATTTAAGAAGCCTTTTAATTACCGTTCTTCACCTTTAACTTCATTTTAATGCAGTTTTTAGTCTGGGAGTTAGACACACCAGTCTTTACAACCAGCTTAATTAGAATCAAAGAAATGGAGGAGAGGAGAGGCAGGGGGCTCTAGGAAGACTCAACTACAGCAGGTTACTCAGGGATTTGAGCAGTTGGGTCTTGCTTATCTCCAGGGGTGAACACTCCCCAACCTCTCTGAGCATCTATACCAGCGTTTGACCACACTTATAGTAGAAAAAGGGTTTTTTTGATGTTTAAATGAAAGGTTCTGGTTTTCAGTTTGTGCCTCCCTTCTTTCATTGGGCACCACTGAGAAGAGTCTGGCTCCATCCTCTTTACTCTCTCTCATCACATATTTATACACATGAATAATGTTCCCCCCAATCTCTTCCATCTCAAGGCTAAACAATCATCAGCCTCTGCTTGTATCATAAAGGTTCCAATCCTTTTCAGCATCTTTGTGGCCCTTCACTGGGCTTTCTTCAGCACTCTCTTGTACTGGAGAGCCCAAACCTGGACACAACGCTTCAGGTGTACTTTCACCAGGGCTGAGCAGAAAGGAAGGATCACCTCCACTGGCCAAGGGTACTGCTGGCTCATGATCCACTTGGTGTCCACCACAGTCCCCAGAGCCTTTACTGAAAACTGCTTTCCATCCAAACACCCCTCAGCCTGTTTGGGTGGGTGCTTGGGGTTTCTTTCTACCCAAGGGCGGGACTTGTTATTTCCCTTTGCTCAGCTTCAGGAGATTCCTTTTGGCCCAGATCTCCAGACTCTTGACATCCCACTTAACGGCAGTGCAATCATCTGGTGTATCAACCCTTCCTCCTCTTTGAGGATCATCTGCAAACTTGCTGAGGGTCTGCTCTATCCCACCATCCAGGTCACTAATAAAGATCTTAAACAGTATTGGTCCTAGTGTGAACCCCTGAGGTACAGCACTAGTTTAGTTACTGCCTTCCACAATCCTTTGAGCCTGGCAGTTCAGCCAGTTTTCAGTCCACCTCACTGGCCACTTACCTAGTCACTACTTCGTCAGTTTGACTGTGAGGACGTTACGGGAGACAGTGATGAAATCTTTGCTTAAGTCAAGAAAACTGACTCTCTCCCCTCATCTACCAGCCCAGACAGCTCACTGAAGAAAGCTATTAGCTTGGTCAGGCAGGATTTCCCCCTCATAAATCAACAATGACTGCTTTTAATCACCTTCTTGCTCTTAATATGTTTGGAAACGGTTCCCAGGAGGATTTGCTGCAGCACCTTGCATGGACTGAGGTGAAGGTGACCAGGCAGTATTTCCCCAGATCCTCTTTTTCGCCTCTCGAACACAGCCGTGACATTTCCTTTCTCCCAGTCCTCAGGGACCTCTCCCAATTAACATCACCTTCCAAAGGTAATTTAGAGTGGCCTCATAATGCCATTGGCCAGCTCCCTTAGCCCTCAGGGATACACCTCATCAGGTTGCATGAACTTGTTGTGTTCAATTGCTTTAGGGGCCTTAGGGGTCTGGGATTTCTGAGGGCAAATTTTACCAGTAAAGGCTAAGGTGAAGAAAGCATTGAGTACCTCAGCCTTCTCCATCTCCTTTATCACCTGAAAAAGGAAATTTATTGTCTTCAAGCACTATCCCAATCTGCAGACTCGGTTTGTAAATACATGCCAGGGACTTCAGTGTCTGATCAGTTAGATCTCTCTCTATCAGAAGTTAGGTCCTTATTTCATGCCACCGCAGCTGCAGAACAGTTTCGTGCTCTGAAGAGCAAGAGGATCCAGTTCCAAAATGGGGCTATACCGCAAAATCTGGCTGTGATGTGCTTACAAAATGATTGCCCCTTCTCTCTTTTCAGACAACTCAACACCTTTGGATTTATGATGCCATGCCTATGCTTTCAGGGCAGGGGCCCCCTTCAGCTTTGTCCGTATACAAATATATATGTATGCTGCTTTGCAAGTAATCATGAATTCTGCATTATTGTCTATAGTAATCTGAAAAGCTCTTCCCCCCCTTGCCAAACAGCTAGTAGCTTTCTCTCCTCATGTCAAGATGATATTTTCATGTTGTCACTGAGTGTTAAATTTTACTTATATTTGCTTAAATTAAATATGTTTAAGGTTAACCTTTTTTTAAGTGGCTTATTTAATTTATTTGAACAGATTTGGTTTATTTTGGGTCACTAAAACCTAATTAAGTTCCTGTTATCTCCAGAGTGAAATCTCCCATGAGTTCTTTCTGTTAATACTCCTGCTTCATGCCTCTCTCTGCTTGAGTGTTACTTGTAACAGCAGGAAAGGAGACATTTCAGATTAACCTGTGCTTGGGAAGAGAAGGGCTTGGCAGGTTGTTTTTTTCTTAAAGAAGGAATATATCCTTTGAAAGTATAAAGATGTCAATGAAGACGAAAAATATGTTTGACGAAATATTAAAATATATTTCTAACATAATTAAAATCCAGTTAAATATATTTTAAATTATTTTTTCCTAATTTTTTTGAACTCTTTCCTTTGCAAAATCATTTTGGTTCAACCTATTCTGTAAAGTTATTCAGAAATTGTCTCAAGCACTGCACATGGCAAGCAGAACTCACTTTCCAGAATTTTGTACTTGAAAGTCAGAAAGGAACTCTTGGTTTCCTTTTCAATATTTTGAGATACAAAAGAAATAGCTGCAAAAATAAAACCATGGACAGGATTTCTTAAGGCTTTTAAACCTTTCAGCTCATCACGCTGAGAACAAATCCAGATGCAGCCACACAGAACAGACGATTTCAGTTCACTCAAAATCAAAAGAAAGAAGATTCAAAAACATCAACATCAGTCACCAGCGTCAATCAGGCCAGCACATCTCGACTAGAAGGACTGCAGTCAGAGAATCACCGCTTGAGAATGAAAATTACAGAGGTATTGTGTATTGTATATACTGCCTAGGCAATTTTTTTTATTTTTTGTTGCAATTCTGTAATTTGCTTAAATGTTGACTACTTTTTAGAAGAAAAAATTAGCTTTCCCCATAGAAAAATATTGCAATAATAGGAAACAGATTACTTATATGAATGCCTAATTAATACTGCGAATACTTAGCAGGTGTGATATAATGAAATCGTGCCTTAGCAAATTAAAATGAAACTTCCCCTATTTATTTGTAACAGGCAAATTACCCTGCTGCCTCACATGGACATGCTGAGAACCATAGCACAATAGCTCTAGACGTACAACCTTTACACGCAAGCGTAACAGAGACCCACAGCCCCAGGGACACTTAAGAGCTCTCTTTGTTCCTGTTTATATCTGAGTTCAGAGACTGCTGTTGCTGTTATTTCTCAGCCTCTCCGAGAGTTCACTCAAAAACTTGCTAGACAGATTTTTACGTCTGCCATGAAAGAGAATTACATATTTTCTTAAGGTAGAAAAGCTCTTTACCATCATGTAAGCTGAGCCTTTTGGCAGAAAGGCCATGAAGTTTCTTCAGTCTCTACTGACAGAATGGCTAAGAACATGGAGCACATTAATTCCATTAGAGCTATAACAACATGTATATTTTTAATTATGTCCATCCTTGCTCAGGAGACCTCAAACGACGACAAATCAGCCTTGAAGACTGCCCATTGTGTGAGACAAGATGACCATAACTGACCTATATCTCACAAAAAATTAACCTGTTCTTGCCTAGTCTGTGAAGTATTCTTATACCTTGAAGAAAAGGTATTTTATTGCAACCATTACTTCTTCATCCAAATCTTAAGTAGTGACAATTGCCTAGGTAACCAAAAGGTGTTTACTCAGACTACCAAGGACTCCAAAAGCAAAAGTTATCTCTGGCTTGTTAAAGAAATTTAGTTCAGCTTTGCCAGGTCCCTTTCATGTGAAAGCCTTGCAATTTTTAATGAAAGCTCAGCTAGCTACTGGCTATTTCAGTTTATTTATCCTATGGTGTTTTTTTCTACTAAGCCTCCTAACTCACAAGATCTCAGCCTGTGCCTTGCAAGGCTCATGACGGTGATCACAGGTAAGGCTGGTCAGGGCAACTGAGCTATATTAGTGCACACAGGATCCTGCTGATCTTTTTAGACTTTGCTTAAATAGATTAAATTAAATACCCAGAACCAGTAGGTCCAAATAAGAATTTCATTGTCAAGGGGATTTGGAGCATGCCCTACCGTGGCTAGCAGCTGCATCTCTGGCTCATCTGCCTTGAGTTGCTGTGTCCCAGTTCTATAAGGAAACAAGGTAAATCTAAATTCAGCACTTCTAAAATTCAGTTAAGCCAGTAGCGAGAGGGATGTACTCTGGACACCACATCCTGGACAACTGTTCACAGAGAGCGTCCCAGATCACCATTATGATGCTTGTATCTGGTTATTTTCTGCAGGGGCTATAGCCAGTTGAATACAAGTTAGTTTCTGGGGAGAGCACCCTGTGTTCAGCTCAGTGCTAAAAGGTAGGGGTGTACCAACCCGGCATTTGTGCTGTGGCTCTTCCAGTCAGAAAATATCAGTGCTTCTCTCCCTCTAGTCTTAAAGGATGCTTTTGAGGAGAGAGAGGACTGGGATTTTTGTTTCTTCTCCCTCCTCTTATTTCCATTTTTATCCGTCTTGGAAAGTTATGCTTGCAATGGCAGTTTAGTGCTAGCTATCAGATTACACAGTTTAAGACACAAAAGATATAAAACTTGGGGGTAATTTTCAAATCACAAAAGCATAGAATGTTCTCAGACCCAAAACTAAAAACTGTGAGTTGGATTTTCTTCAAAATTTCACACACACAGAAACACAACGGAAAGTCTAACAGGAGTCTGTCTCTCTAAGAAAGGTAAAAGGAGTAAAAATAATCTTTAGGAAAACAAAACATTCCCAGTAGAGTTGACTGCAGTCACTCACATGGCTGGACATGCCCCTGATGCCATAGTTCTCTTATATTCTCTTGTATGTTCGATAATTTGATTGACTCAAAAAAGTGGTTATAGCTATTTATTCCACATTTTTATGCATAAATAATAAATAGTTGAGAGGTTTTCAGACTGGGCTTTCTAATGCCCATTTCTTTCGCATTCAGCAGTACATCTGAATTGCTTAAACTGTCAACTACTAAAGCTTATTCCTCTTGTATGCCCTGTGTGCAATACCACAGCTGAACACGATTTGTTGCTTGTAACATGATTTTTAGAGGTGGTGTTGTAGTGCTATAAGAAAACTGTATTTGGCACAGTGTGGCAATTGCACTATCACCTGCCTTCTAGTCTAATTGTAGAAAGCTATGCAGTTACTGCAGATACCTGAAGCAATGACTTGAATTTTTAGGGATTCATACTCTTTCTGTTTTGCAGCTGGACAAAGACTTGGAAGAGGTTACAATGCAGCTTCAGGACACTCCTGAGAAAACAACATACATTAAGCAGAACCACTATCAGGATCTCAATGACATTCTTAGTATACGGAACTTTACAGACAGCAAAGGTAAGAGTTAGTAAAATCCATTAGTAGCTTAACCCACCAAGATTTTGAATAGCGATCTCATTGGATTGATTCCAGAGCACTCAGACCTTGGTAAGATAGAGCTTTAAATATTTTAGTTGCATTACAGAAAGCATGCAGATTCACGTAATAAGCTATATGGTACCCACTGAGTAGTTATTTCTCTGTACATATGTCTTCTATTGTATGCCCTGCGTGTACAATACACGTGGTAAAGTGAGAAACTTTTAAAAGCATACTTCGGTTCAGAAGTCAAGTTTTCTGTGCTGCATGGAGGGAGGAAAGTCACTCAGATCTTGTGAGAGTTAATTGCGCCAGCCTTCAGCAGTAGGAAGCCCAGTTTAATATGTGCTCATCTGAGTAGGACGTTCATATCCTGCTTTTGGACACTGCTATCAAGCATGTAGAAGAGAAGCATGTAAATATTTCAGTGCTGGTTTGGACTCTAAATGTAGAATTGAAGGCACTCATGTATGAAAATTCTTCCCTAGGCACTGATAAAAAAGGATTTCATGACGACTGTAATATTCATAAGTTGTTTCTACTGTGTCTTTTGCATCGCTCCCTGAAGAAATATATGCAAAAGAATTGCTTCCATTAAAGCCATTTCACTTTTGGGAAGCAATAAGATCTGGTGCATAGTGCAATAAAGTGGAAGCCAGGACACCCAGCTTCCATTTCTGACTCTAGAATGGATCTACTTTGTGACTTTTGGAAAATGACTTTGTGCAGCTGAATATTGCTATAGTACATGAAAAACTAGTTGCCCCGTGTTGGGAAGTTGTAGACTTGCATGTTTGTTGCAATGCTAGGTTTGTGTAAGCTTGGCTAAGTAAGTGGAACGGAAGCTACTGCTGTTGTTGCAGAATAATTTTAGAACAATGACAACTGTTCATGTATGCTTTTGAAGTATATTGAAATTTTGGTTGGATAAGGTTACTTTTTCATGTGCCTTTTGTTTTAGCCTGGGTATACACTTGGTTGTGTAACTTGTGGCAAAAAAAAAAAAAAAAAGGAAGAGCTCCATAGAGTTCCCAGTGTCCTTTTTAAAATTAAAAAACAGAAGGGGGGAAAGGAGGAAAAGGAAAACGTAAATAGCTGCTGGAGGCGTGTGATTATTGGGCTGAGATCAGCAGCAAGAACTAACATCAGTGAGTGGGATGAGGCAGCTTTACCAAGTGTTTGAAAGGAACACATAGAATGTTCCACTCATGTCAGATGCTGCAGGAAAATGATAAATCATGAATAATATTTCAAGCAGAAAAGATACATTACATTGTGCCAAATGCCCATCTGAGTTTGGGTATGAGAAATAAAAATGATCCTCAAGAGATACGCTGGGTATAAATTTAGGACGGGATGCTTCCCACAGCAGGTTGCGCTCCATTAGCAGTAGGATGCTGGCAAAGAAATCAAGGATAAAATATAACCTTTCTGCACTTACTTGTGGCTATATCTACAACAGACATCGATGCCTAACTGCCACTTTACACACCAGCATCCAAGATTGTCTGTGTTCCTAAGTTTCCCCCAGTACAGTTCCGTAACTTCTACATTTCTGTTGCAGGGCACGTATTTAAAATCATCTGTACATACTGAGCCTTAATGTACTGAGTAGCTTGGAACTATGTACTATGAGGAATTACAGGGTAGATACTCTTCTGCATACTGAAGTTGCCAGACACAGTGTTCTGAACGGACCTACCACATAAAGCTCTGCACAAAAGAAGGGGGGAAAGGAAAGAAGGATGTTTTCCCTTGGCCATCTTTATATTGAATAGGTTAAAGCATCCATTCACCTGGGAATGAGGAAGACCTGGATCCTAATTTGCAGCAGATATTTGAAGTTTGGTCCCACACCTGATGGTGAATGCCCCAAGCACAAGTATTATGGAGTATCCTGATCCTGACTTGAGTGACATCAAATATTCATACTTCCAGGCTGTGGAGCCGTCACGTTCAACAACCCTTGTTAGCCTTTTTCTGTCCCTCCATTTCCGTTTCTTCTGCCTCTTGTTTTCTCTCTTTCCCAAAATTTCCCTCTCCCTTAGCTGCTTGTCTGAATCTCCTCTGTATTTCTCTCACTGCATCCGTTCCCAATAGTCAACCTATAAGTGCTTAATTTAAATTTGCCATTCCAATCAAAATAACAAGGCTTTGGAGAATTCATGCTGCTGAGTCACTGCTGCTTCTGTGCAGATGCAAACAGACATCACTTAAAAGGTACTTAAAAAAATTCTGGCCCTTATGGCTACAAGAAAGCTAACTCTGACTGACATAACTATGCTTTCTGTAGCTATGTATTTCATGCAACTTTCTGTAAATGAAAGTACAGAGCCTTGAAATTATGATGGTACTTGAGCGAAGCTTTGGAATTGTAAATAATTTATTAGCATGACCTATAAGTGACCATGTCTCTCACCTCCACTGTGCAACTGGGCAACCCAGTCCCATCTTGTTTTTAAGGTGATGACAAGGTTTGTGTCTACCTTGGACCTTGTAAAAAATGTGAGCTGAGAGTTAGGGCGTAGGCCAGTGAAGAGAGATGCTAAAAACAGCAGCTGATTTGGAGCTAAACATCATAGCAGATCATTTACCACATTTGCATTGTGAACATGGCTGAATCCTAAGTCAAGCTTCTTTATAAAAAACCTTGCTCTTCAGAATGAGTTCATATAGAGAATGTAATACAGTGTATCTCCACTGCTATTGCTTACACAAATTCAGGGCACTTCAGAGAACAGATAATAACACAGGACTTATGCAATGCATCTCAAACAAGTCCTAACCAAACTTTACTGTCATAGTACACTTCAGTAGGTTTCTGATCTGTAAAAATTGTCCAGAGTTAAAATTCCTAACTCCTATAACCAAGGAGGTTATTTGATTCTTGCCTTCCTTCCCCACCACCATCATTTACATCAAATATGGATTTAGGATACAAAAGTTAAATTACTTTAGCCAAAATAGATAGACACAGCTGTGCACTCCCATAACTGCCTGACCTCAGGCAAAGTTTCATAACTTTGGAGTTCCTGGTTAGTTATTAACAGCAACAGCTCCTGGTGTAGCCCAGGAGCTCTTTGCTGACGTGGGGACTCCTTCTTTACAGCACATTTCAATTCAGTACATCTCATTTAAAGAGAGATATTATCCAAGACACTCATCTCTTGTTCACAAGTGGGTAATGTCCCTGAGACATCTACAGCAATGGCTATGTAAGAAAAGCAATTAGGAAATGTGGTTTGCAGTTTATGGTTTGATTGCTTTTTTTAATGCAGGCTTTTGTCCGTGCTGCTAGCTAGCTTTGTGTGGTCAAGCAGTTCTCAACGTGCTCCATGGACCACAGCTCTGGGACCTCAAATGGCTTCTCCAGTTGAATTTAAAAGGGCATCCCCTTAATTTCATTTGATATATTCCTCAGAAGATTTTGAGTCACTGTGCCTGCTAGCAGCCTTGGCTCTGTGCACAGCACAACGTTAGCGTCTCCCCTGGGTTGCTGTTTGCAGGATCTGGTCACCTTGCTGGAGCAGCAGAGCTGCATTACAGCCCGGGTTTGAGGCAGGGAGGAGCTGTGGGTGAGACCCACGCTTGGCTTGGGCAGTTCCTGTAACTGGCAGTGCCGTTCAGCAAAGAGAGCCAAGCTTGGAGACACGGCTAAGTTTTTCAGGCTGAGTTTTTCCAATGTCAGCATTTGGAAAAAGGAGGACAAATGCCTGTAACTGTGATGCTGTGTAAAAAGAGGAAAGTTGTGCCGCACAGCTTCAGGGAAGAAAGACCCTGGAGCGGGCACAAACCAGAGCTTCTCAAAAGGGCTCCCTGCACCCATGCAGCTGGTGTGCCAGAAACAGGAGAGACTTCATGAAGGTAGAAGTTATTTCTACTGTGCAAGTTCCTGCAGACAAAAGTTATTGAGGAGAAAACTACAGAGGGAAAATACTATGTGGTTGGGAGGGGCTGGATAATTTGCTATGCTTGGAATCTTACTATCTTACTCTATTTGACATTTTATTACACGAAATTATTTTTACATGAGTGATTCATAGATTGCAAGAGTTTCATATAAAGCCAAGCTCAGAAGAAATCCTGCAGAAGAATCTCCATTTATTTCTACCTTTGCCAGTACATTTCAGAGTGGCGTATTAGGGAAATTAATGAATGACAGCTATCCTATGGAAAGTACATAAGAAGCAAGAGACAGACTTGCAATAGTCTCCACTTATGAACAAACTCTTTTTGCAAGTTCTCTCTCTGCAGGCACCCTTGCTTGCTCAGGAAGCCTTTTCTGTTTTGAGCCAGAAAACAGTCTTTACTCATTGCTGTAAATGGACTGGGAGCATTCATTTGCATGTCAGATATGCCTACATGCTGTCAGTTGTCACCCCACTCCAGTGTTTCTTAGTGTTAGTTTTTCCCCATGTAAAAGCAGCTCAAAGAAAAACAGATTTCAAAGGCACGTTGCTCGTAAATGCGAAGCAAAACAAAGTTCATCTGTGGTAGAGGGGGGAAATATTACTTCGATGAAGTTCATGTGATTCAAGCATTAAGCTTGAGATTGAAACCACAGATTCAAAAGAAAGGCTTTCAGAAATAACTCCTTTAAAGGAATATTGTTTTAAAGAAAGGATATAGTTCATTATATCCCTTGTATATAGAGATCTATAGAATATGTGTACTAGTTTCTATGAAGCCTAGTAGCAAATGGATTGCAGTCCTGACATTGGAGCTTGTTTCTGTTTCAACAGGAAGACCAAACTGCCAGAGGTTCAGTGCCTGTCCTTCCTTGCACAGAAATAGATCTGTAGTAAAGAGAGCTTCTTCTGATTTAAAGTAGTATAAATCAAAGGAGAATTTTGCTGGCTCCTCTTTTTAAAAATTCTTCCTTTGAAAACATAACTATCAGAAGTCATGATTTAGACTGCCTGGTGCTCTGCACTTAGTTCAGGAGAACTTTTTCTGATATACCCAGCAGATGATGTGATCATTTTAATTTTTCCTTTCATTTACATCCTTTTCATCCTGTTCACATGAAAAGCAGGAACTGGCTAGTCATGTTTCACAGTCCAAACAAGAGAACTGTGAAAAATTACAGTAGATGTTAAAAATCTACCTCTAGCTTTAAAGTTTCCAGAGTTCTTTAGTAAATCAGCAAGGTTATCTCTGCCAATTCTTATAAGTCATTATTAAACCACACTTGCTTCCTTGTGGAGCATAAAATGTGCTTTCTAGCAAAGAGAAAACAACAGTGGAATTGAGAGATGTGGGGTGAAGAACGGTTCTGCCATCTAGTTGTAAGCCATCAGAGGACTATTGCCACTAAAATGTAATGATGAAGATGTTCAATAAAGCTGCAGTGTACAAATGTCAAAACCACAGCCTTCTGGTTAAAGAAATACAGTTTCTAAAATCTTGAAAGAAATTGCAGCAGTGGCAGTCACCTGGTGTTTTCTGCCTGCAGCTGAACAGGAGTCGTTAAAATGCATGACACGTTTAAGCCAGCCCAGGTGATTTTGACAGCCCCACATTGCGGAGTGATTATAAGTCCGGCAGGTCTGAAGCGAGCGTCACCCCTGGCAGAGGGAGAGGCGAGCAGCAGGGAGCAGTGACCTCCTCGCTGAGCCCCTCCGCAGCCGGCATCCGATGTGCTCTTCCAGCTCAGAGCTTTGTAATCAGAAGAGGTTTCTCTGCTTCAGGTAGGCAAAGGTCCTGAGCTAAAGCCTTCTGGCTCTCGCTGACAACTGGGCAGCAGGTTTTGTTTTCTAATGAACCCATCAGTGAGTGTCATGTGAGGCTCTTGAGATCTATTTGTCTTTTTTCCCAAAGGTTTTCTGAATAGAAAGTGCTCAGGCATCACTTATCCAGACTTCTGAGTTCCAGTTTGAGGTCTATGAAGGTGAAAATTACTTAGAAAGTGCTTCTGGCTAATGTAAATTCAGTGTTGAAGGTAGTTACATCATTCCAGTGCAACTTATTCAGTTCTGCAGTGGCAGACAGTACCCTGAGAATGAAGGGCATTTTTCAAGTGGCATACTTAATGCACAGAGGAAGAAAAGATGAGGAAGTACTAAAAGCAGTGCTACACTTTCCAGGGAAAAATGGGAACTCAAATGTTTACCGTTACCCTTAATTTATTTTCTTTCGTTTTTTCACATATATAAAATCAGTTTCCTCCATCCTTAAGCTTTTTAAGTGCATATGGTAATAGTGTTTTTTCTTTAAGCCCCAGCTCCTGGAAGCATATGACTAAGTGAGAATCTTGCTCTTCATTATTTAAATGAAAGGTAAATGAAAAAAAAAAAAAAAAGAAAAAAAAGAAAGATATTCTAGTTTCCATAGCTGCAGAACAAAAATCTAACAACTCTTCTCCCAAAAAGCTTAACAAATAAGAATTACCCAACTTTTATGTATTTTGAAATAAGCAAAGGAAAAAGAAAAAAATCTCAATATTGTGGCAGTTTTATGTGGATTTTTTTCTGTATTTTATACATATACATTAAAACTTGTATATGGTAACCTTCTGTACAGAAGTTCATGCAGTGTATTAAGGGAAAGTCATCTGCAAGAGTGGTAGAAAAGGGCCTATTAAGAATAACACACAGTGATATATGGGCAGTTGGTGTTGAGGGGTGAGTAGGCAGAGAATACATAATTTTGCTCTACTTTAAACTAAATCCCCCACCTTTTTGACAGGGACCACCTCCTTCTCTTTCTCTCTCTCTCTCTCTCACACAGCACAACTGAAAGCACAAGAAACCCCTTTAGGGGTGTACAACAGAGATTAATATATGAAATCACATACTCCTGAAGCCCAACAGTTGCATATTCCAGTCATTTGATGAAAAATTGTGTCTTCAGTGGCTTTGTAAAAGGTTGAATTGCTTATCTTTGCCAAAGGGGTTGGAACCCTAAAACAGTTAAATAATAGACCTTTTCCATGCCTAATTACAAGGATTACTCAAATTTTAACTTTGAGCTACATCATAAAGTCAGCAGTTTTCATTGTCAGCTTAGATCAGCTCAGGATGGTACGTTGTTTTTAATCATGGAAGTAAAAAGTGTTCTTTTCTACATGTCTGTTTATAGACATCACAAGGCTTTTATGCAAATGTCAAGCTCAATATACATAGAAATGCGATATACGGAAAACAAAAACTGAACTCTTGTGACAGCAAGTGCCACACCAGCAAACTTCAGGATGCCCTGAGATGATAGACTTCATTGCTTATCTTAGCCACTGTCAGATTTGACTCTTTGCTGTCCTCCCTTTGCATCTAAACAATCACTGAATCCTGTCGTATCTTCCTGTTAAGCACTCATCTTGCTACAACTGAATTTCTTAGCTCTCTTATACTGACATTTTCTTGCCCCAACAGAATCAGCTTCATGTTTTCTGGTCACCTCCTTTCTCGCCCAGACCCTTCCCTTCCATGCAACATAAGTGAAAAATCTTCTCTCCTGCTCTTCTGAGCTGTAGCGATCCCCATGTCTGCACATTTTTGCATCCTCACCTATTCACTTCTTTCCAAGAACCTTGTTAGATTTTTCATAGCAGAAAGTGAATGCTACAAAATAATGCCAGGGGTGACCGCACTGGAAGGCCAATTATACATGTTGGAGTTTGCCCTCAAAACATTCCCATTTCTGCTTCCAGCTTCTTTCCTCACTGTTTCTGCTGCTTGTTTTGTCCACCAATGCTCATGGATAATGTATATATTCCTAGCATGCTGGGACCTGAGCATTATTTGGGGCCTCTGAGTGTTAGTAGAACAGAGAAGCAGCTTAAGCCTTCAACACACACTGGGGCTTTCATGCTATTTTCATTTTCTCTTCACTATTTTCCTGCTTTTCCCACTCATACCCATTTTTACATTCAAATCCTCCAGTGTCCTTTTCAAGAATTTACCTTCGAGTCCTCTTCCCTGCTGCCTTAATGCCCACAGCAATCACTGTTTCTCTATGTGTGTGGCAAACAACTGCGGGTGATGGATTTGGAGCTGCTCTGTAATTATTTATGAAAACTGTGCACTGTCCTCATTACTCAGATGTTTTCCATGTGACTTTATTTGGCTTAACACAGTAGGAGACTTTGAAAAAGCAGGCAGGAACAGAAAGGATCCCCAGCAAAGACAGCCTTCTTAAAATGGCTGTGTTCGTCCGCGTTTCTCAGGGGGACCGATGCCACAGGCTTCAGCACAGCTAGTCAGGGACTCCCAGGACTCCCAGGGGAATTGAGTGAAGCTACCTACAGGGAAAATGATCTTCTATGTTATCACCACGCAGAAAAGAGAACGGCAGGAGAAAGCTTAATGAAATCATTAGCTGTCCTTCCTGCAGACAGCCTATGGACCAGTGCAACTGATATGAATCGTATTTCCATGCTGAATGACAGCAGATAGGTAAATGACGGCACTTAATTGCTTATGCGATTACAAGAGTATCAAGATTTTATATATCAATGAGATTATAGTTTTTCTAGGAAAAGATTTAAATAAGAGGTTTTTTTCATATGAAACTGTAACAATTTTTGAGTGCAAGATATGATTAATGCAGTTACATTAATTTTTTACACAGCCTAAGACTAGGTCAGAAAGCATGATAGGGCTACACAGAGGTGGGCAACAAGATTTGGTTTGTGGGGTTTTTTTAAAGGTGGAGGAGAAGCAAAGAAAGGACAGGAGAGGTTTTGTCCTTTTTCTGTTTCTTCGTGGTAGTTCCTATGAAGGGGCACATCATCAAAAGCATGAGTACCAAAGACTCACAGGAAAACCTGAGACTGTATTGGAATACAGGCAGAAAGAGTTTACTTTGTGGCATTATGAACATCTGGGAAATTTTGAAATGAAACTAGTTAAAAATGGTATCTTGGTCAAAGTGAAGTAAAATCGAATGTGTTGTCCATCCAGATGGTGAGAAAGCCATTTTGAAAAATCATCTTGATCAAAATCCACCAGCACAATGGGGCTCATCAGACCCTTCCAGAACAAGCAAAGATCCTATAGAAGACATCAACTCTCCAGAACAGTAAGTATGCACTATTATATACTGGTACAGAAAGAGGCCCCCCCCTTGCTCTCTCAGGTATGCATGTGCTTGGGTGCGCACACTTTCTACTGTTTTAGCCATAAATTCCATCCTGGACACCAGGTGCCTTGCTGATAAGATGTTAATTTAAATTACTGTATTTCATCAAAACCCATATTTCTCTTTCGTGCATTTTTGTGGGAAGACCTTCACTGTAAACCCTTTCAGCCAGCCCCAGCTACAGAGAGAGCCTGGACCACCAGCAACAGATGAGAATGGCATCTCCTGAAGCACTAGTGGGCAGCAACGTTGTACTGTGATGTCTCCCTGCCACCAGCTCACCATCCCCACCAAATTTAGAGGGTATCAAGGGCACTAGATCCTAAGGTGCCCCAAAGGCAAACTAACATACTTCTTTTCTCTTGTCAGAAACATCCATAACATGATGTCTAAAGTTTCTGTAGAGAGTTACAGGACAAGCTGTGCCCAACCACATAATGTATATTAAGGACAGGAGAGGAGGTACCTGCGTGCACACACATTATCACTATTGTCAAAAGTCCAAGTCCTTCCACACACCAGCCAGAGGGGTTCACGGTGTACATAGCCATTTTGTTCTCTTTCGATCTTAAGCTAGCCAAGAAATAAAAACAGTCGGGGGGCTTTTCAATGTTGCCATAGCAGCTGGACCTGAGTTTTGGCATATGAAAGCCTGCACCAAGTAGTTTCCCTTAGAAACAATGCTGCAGCTACAAGGAGAGGATGGCACAAAGCACGTGCTAGATTCATGGAGAGGGAAGAGTCTTATGGTATCAGCTTTTCTCTCCAGAAACCTATACAATAAACTCACGTACTACCCTCTGCCAGCCCAGCAGGGCCTGCCATGGGCCAGAGCTCAGAGAAGCGCCATGCTCATTTGTCCCTGGATCAGCCGTTTCCCCATGGCATCTTAGTTGCACGGGCACCACTTCATCAGGATCTGAGCTAGCGGCTGTCAGACTCCTGTTTTGTACACAGGCCACTTAAAAGCTTATTTAAAAACAGAATATATTAAACAAATTACTAGACCGAGTCACATGTTACGTCAGTGACAGCAAGCCTGAGTTCAGATAGCAGTTACTTCCTTGTACTACCTGGTGCAGGAAAACACGTGGATTTCTAACCCTGCCCTTGCACTCAGAGAAAAACCCAACCCAAACCTGCACAGGAGCTAATCCACACACTCATGCACACATATGCATCAAAAAAAGCCCCCAGTAACTGAAATATCTGGTTATTTCACAAAAGCAGGGCTCTCGCTGAGAAAGCTTTCGTGACTTTATGGGGTCAGCAAAGTGCTTTAATGCATAGCTATTAGAGGTCTGTCTTTTTCCAGCACCATTTGTCAGAAATAATGTAGTGTGAATGCAGCCTGATCCGCACATGCCCCCCTTACATTAAGCGAGATGCTAAGAAAAACACAGACACTCAGATAATCCAGTTGTCCCGATACAGATTTAATACAGGAAAACAAAAGAAAAACATTTGGTGATGACAGAACCTCCTCTAGGCTAGTGGTAACTGATGACTTCTAACTGAGATTTCCTAAAGGTCTTAAAGAGTGGGTCAGTACAAATCTGAACAGTCACTGACATTTATAGAAAGCAATTAATAAAGTCCTGCTAAACGAAAACAGTGTCATTCAGCACTTGCACAGCTGTGACTGTGCCAGGTCCAAGGGTCAATGTCTCCCCTGAGGATGCGTTGGCAGTTTGGGTACCAGAGCCACACCACCCAGGCCCAGTGGACCTGCCAGAGAGCAGAAGTGTAGTTGTTTTCAGGACTAGAGTTTTGTGATTCCCTCTCTTTGACAAGAGTTTGCCTCTTTCTAAATTTCATGCTCTTTAAGAATATGCATGGGCTTTTTTTCCACTTGTCTGGCAGCACTTCTGGCCTTCTGTGGTTATTAAATATACCATTTTTCTCAAAAAAAAAAAAAAAAAGAGTTAAAGACAAGCTGTAGTTGGTGCCTTCTCTTTCTCATTTCACTGCATACATAGGGCATCTGATAGAAAAGTAGTCACACAGTCTGCTCAACCTATTTCTTACTCAAGAACACAAATCGCAAGGACATTAGTCTGAAAAAGATTTCCTCTTTGCGACAAACCTATGAAAGGAGGACGTTAAGATAATAATTTGCCTGCAGAAATGTTAACTATTTAATGGCTATAGCAAAAAGAAGCATCCCAGCTTCCTGTTATTGACAGCACTCAGGAGAGCTGACATCTTCCAGTATGAAAGTTCTTGTAGAGTGCAGAAAAGAGTTTGATTTGCGATTTTTTCATTCTTTCTTACCACTAGTGCTACATTTGACTAACTGCAAGTGTGATCCTTTATTCTACAGTTGTGTCCAAAATGAAGGCCCAGAAGTATGCACGCTCTTCAGGCTCAGTAGTGCAGGAAGTTTTTTCACATTTATTGACGGCGTGGTCACATTTGTTGACGGCGTGGTGTTTATATCATCTCAGTCAGAATGTGAAAAACATTTGATTTGTGCTTGGCTCGGATTTAGAACCCTACACCTAAGGAAAATGCAGTCTATATGACTGTAAAGCAGCCTTAGAGCATGAATATAGATGATTCACAGTTCCCTTTGCCTCTTGCTCCCTTTCCTGCTGGGCAGGACCTGATAGGTTATCCATAGTACCATGTAAAATTTGCCGTACCCAGTCTCATGGTCTGATGGTCTCATCAGACACGAGGTGCAAAAAGTGGGTGCTGCCTGCTTTCTCTCCTGTTCACACTGGCTACACCGTGTAAATTAACACTTCCTATAGTAGGCAAAGTAGTGCTGGTGCACAGGCTCAAGCCCTGCACTTTGATTTTCCATGGTGCTTATTAGTGTACTCTCTTAACACAGTTGTATCAACTTATGCTCTCCCGGCTAACTCTCAGGCACAATCTGGTATTCGGAAACGCTGTTTGCGGGGATCTTAGCTGCATGGGTGGAAGCTGCACCATGCCAGTTCACCTCAGGTCCAGAAAGAAGCTTGAACCAGTTTAGAATAGATATAATAGCTCATTTCCTAGTAGGCTGGGGTGTCTCTCATGCAAAGTCAACCCTTTTCTGCTGGGCAGTCCTGCTTATCTAAAGATCACATCAGTCAGCTTATCTGCACAATGGCCACATGAATACCTCCAATGGGATATCTTCCGTGACCTTAAAGACATGCTTCTGAGCACCTTCATTCCTGCATGTTGTCCCATCTCATCAGTGACCTACATTCGGTGAATTAGTTTTTGGCACCGCTAAAATTTATACTGTTCTCTTTTTAACAGCAACAATATGTAACAGTCTTCCAGATCTCTGAGTAAAGGTGATGATAGCTTTCTGCAGGACCGCAATAAAACCTGCCATTTTGATAGACTATTTCCTATATGCAGTCAGTTTCGTAACCTTCAAAGCAGCTAATCGCTGTGTAACCCTTATAATAGAAACCACCTGGATTTTTTCTGAGCTAAAACTCTGCTTTTAGCAGCATTTAAAAGACATCCAAATACCCTGCTGCAGCCAGTTATGTCAATTTTAGTAACCAAAAATTCTCATCAGAAAAAGTTGGTTATGGTCGGATTATTGCATTACAGCCATATGCCTCTGCATGAACATGCCTCTGTTCCTCAGTTTCTTCACTGACAATGGTTCATATCAGTCTGTCTATGACCCTGCTCAAATCTATCGTTAAAATAAGGTGGATTTAGAATGGTTAGTTTACTTGCTAGTACAACATCTTGCTTTATTGTAATCTTTTAGAACTTTGCCAGCTTCCCAGCAGTTGCTAAAACTTAACATTAATGGGCTGTACAATTGACTGAAATGATCCTTGAATGCTTAGACACAGTTTACACACTCCCGCAGATCTTCAGATGTTTGACTGTCAGCAGTTGTTTCAGTCCCCCCACTTACCAATGGATCACATGGGTGGCTTTCTATAGCAGAACCAAAATATTTTCCAAATGCCTCTGCCCCCTTTGTATCATGGTGCATTCCCATGTGCGTTGTGTTGTGTTCCTATGTGCATTGATATTAGAAGTCAAGCATTTACTTGATTTTATTTATCCCTG